TAACACCACGACACCCATTGTCCAGCAAAGCAGTGTTAAATTTACCCAATTGGTCAACGGCTTCATTACCAACCAAGGCTTCACCAACGAAAAGGGTTAGATCGGGTTCGTTGATTTTAATCAATTTGGCCAATTGTTTCATCAAAGGTTCATTGTCTTGCATTCGGCCCGCTGTATCAACAAGGCACACTGTATAACCAGCGGTTCGAGCATAATTGATTGCCTCCATTGCGATGGCGGCAGAATCTTTTCCATAACCTTTCTCATAAAGATCGACCTTCTTTTTACCATCTCTCTCATGGATTGTCTTCAAAGCGGTAACATGGGTACGAAGTTGTTCAATTGCACCAGCACGGAAAGTGTCACAAGCGACAATTAAAACTTTATTGTCATTAACCACAAGCCAGTTTGCAATTTTCGCCAAATTGGTTGATTTACCGACACCATTGACCCCACAGAAAACAATTACATAGGGTAGAATCGATTTGGCCTGAATATCTCGAAGAATGTTTAGATTACGATTTGGACTGAGGATTCGAAGCATAGATTCCTCAAGTGCATTGCGAACAAATGATTTCAAACCAATCCAAGTGTTGACATTTTGTCCCTCCAATTTGGTTGCGACGCTGTCACATAATTTACTTGCAATTTCCGAGGCAACATTTTTGGATATTAGGTGATCACGAAGTTGATTCAAGATCGGATCCAAATCGGCTCGTGTTAATGCCTTGTTGATGGACATGCTTTTGATGAGAGAACCAAAGAAAGACTTTTTATTGGTGGAAGTGGAAATTTCAATGTCTTCCTCTTCTTCCTCTTCATCGTCACTACACTCGAACTCGAGGTCTGGTTCAACATCGCATTCTTCAATAGTGGCACCCATATCACCTGAAGCGATATTCTTTGCAATGGAAGAAACATTCTCCATATCTCCATTCTCTTTTTTACTAAAGTCCAAATCTTCGGCGTTCTTACCACCAAGTTCCCATTGTCGAGCCTCCTTAGTTTTCTTCCCTTTAGCAATAGGCTGAAAGAAATGAAAGAGAACGAGAGAGAGAGAGAAAAAAAAGAGAAATTAAGTTATGAGAAAGGATAATATTAGAGAGAGAGCAAGTTAATAGATATTTACCTTGGCCTTTTCTTTCTTGGGTTTCTCAGGTCGAACACCTCGAGGAGAAAGTTTAGACAAAATTGGAATAGCTTCGGGTTTTGGGTCAACCTTGGGCACGACAACGGGTGTTGGCGGAGGTGCAACCGAAAATTTGCTCGAAGAGATGATCATCGATTTAACCGTCTTCTGAGATTTAGCGGACTGTTGAAAAGATCGCATCTCAGGTTGAGGTATATTTTGCTGTTGTTTACAGCATCGTGTATAAATAGTTTTATATTCATGATAAAAATCAACAAGATTTAACGATAACAACGATGGTGATGATTGGGATGAAGTTACAGATGAAGATGAATTTGATACAAGGCTTTCTAAAGTTGAGGCCTGTTGTTGTATCCCTTTAGATTTTAGTATCTTCCTCAAATCATAATCCGTAAATTTATCACGAAAAGCAAGTTGAATATCGTCAAGAAATTTATCCACATAAGATAATGATAACATCTTCTGATAGCCGACCACAAATACCAGGTCAAATTCATTGTCAAGATGATATTTTAAAGCCAAATTGTCACAAGTAAATTCATCCCGTCTCTCCTCAAGGATAACATGTTTAATCAATTTATTGACAACATGAGAGATTGCCTGATTTACTGTAGCAAAGAGGACAATTCCTCCTTTAGAAAAGATTACAAAAAAGTCCAACATCTTCCCAAAGATGATGATGATTACCAATCAATAACCAGAAGAATACAATTACCTAGATTACAATTAGAGAGAGAGAAAAACAGTTAAAATTAAATTTCCATCAACAAAAATTCAGGTCAGACTTTCAATACTTACACATAAATATTACAACAAGAGAGAGAGAAAAATCCAATCAATAGTAGATGACCACAGATCTAATCATACAAACCGTTTGGAGTGTAAATATCACAGTTGATCACAGAGTTAATTGTAAGAACAATTAAAAAATATAAATGAGAATAACAATTTGGAGAAAAACAAAATTAGGCAAAGAGGGAAAATTAATTAAATCTATTGACTCTCCAGTCATCAAAACCCAAACAGTTGCCACGTTATCGTTTCCTTGGTAACTGGTTAACATATGGAGGCGGTTTTGACAACAACAATCAGTTTTACTTTAGTTGATTGTTTACTATTTTAAGATGATCGTAATTACTTATCAATCATATTAATCAATGGTTCCAATTACAATCTAAATGTCATCTATTCCCTTGATCATCTGATTCTCTTTGTTGTCTATTGATCATTTTTCATTCTGTTTTCCATTTTCCATTTTTACCTGTGATAAACTGGTCATCTGATTTTCCATTGATTTCAGTGTTTCTTTTTTTTCTCTCGCTCTCTTTTTCTTAATTAAATCATTTGTTTAGTTTTCAATTTGATTTTGGAAATTTTGATTGTTCAATTATTGATTTGTGATTTGAAAGTGTTGCTGTTGAGGTTTTATTGAGAGAAATTGGAAAAGTCATCATCTCTCTATCATCGGTTTTCTTTTTGTTTACATTCAAAGTGAAATTGTGACTTGTATTTTTTTGTTAAGCTTTTCGCTTTTGTTTTGATCGTTTAATTGGCCTCCATTGAAAATGAGTGAAATCAATACAGATTCTGGTGGAAGGTTACTTAAATTTGATGTTAGAGAAGATGAAGAACAATATCAAAAATTTCAAGAGATTATTCAAATTCTCATTGCTGCCGGTTACTTTCGTGCTCGGATAAAAGGATTGACAGATTTTGATAAGGTAACATGATAATCGTTTTCTTAGATTTAAATAATAATATTTTTATCAATTTCTTTTCCTTACAGGTTATCGGTGGAATGACCTGGTGTATAATAATGTGTAGTGTCGATATTGATATTGATCTGATGTACAGTGAAAATCTCACGATTGGACAGAAAATGTAAACAAACTCTATTCATAGCAAAAGCAAAACGAGTATTAGGCTCATCTCTTTTTACTTTGTTGCTGATTTTTTCTCCTAATAAATTGTATCATTTAATTGATATTTTAATTTTTGTTTTCTAGATCATTAACTGAGAAAATTGTTACATCGTTAAAACGGATGAAATGCCCTTTCGCCCTGGAGCCTCATCAGATCCAAGGGATGGACAGTAAACACATTTTCCCAGTCGTTCAATGGTTGGTTAAAATGTCTATTCAATATCGCCAGGAAAATGAAGTTTATATGAAAAACTTTGCTGTCCGAATGTTCAACAAAGATCACAATTTACCCATTGTAAGAAGACACAATTTGCTGTACAATACTGTTTATATGTCTATTGGTTATCATCTAATTTTCTTAATCTCGATTAATTTTTAAGGATCAACAACGATTTTCTGAAAGCAACAAGTTAAAACAAGAGTTTATCCATTCTGATCCTGATACATCACCAGTGAGAAAATATCGTCATCCTAATAAGTCAAAAATCAACGATCTCAAGACCAATGTTAAAATAACCATATTAGAGTACAAAGGGTCAGTTGGTCATCATTGAGTCAACCTTTTGATCATTTTGACACTTTTATTATTTGATTGTCTATCTTGAACTAATAGATTAGCTGATACTGTCAATGAATCAACTAATACTGAGAAATCATCTTCCCCTGAATCAGTTGAACATGCGGAAACTATTTCACTGATTGACGATATGAAACAAGATATTAATGTAAGTTTATTCAGTTCTATGAGTTACTCAAGATATTAATTGTTTCTATTTTTTTTTTCTAGTTTAAACTAAGTTCTTCGATCGTTGGTTCGATAATGAGTGAAAAATATGAGGAATTGAAACAAATCGCTGAAGATTTCACAAGGAATCAATTGAAATTGGCTGAAAATTCACTTGAATACCGAGAGAAAGTATTACGAGAAACTCTTAATGATTATAACAATCGAATCTCTGAGGTAAATAATTGCGATTAATTGTCATTTCGTTTACAAATAATCATTTTTTTCTTCCACTTTTTCAGGCTAAAAGTGCGCAAGAGAATAACAATAATCGACTTGAAGCGTTAAGAATGGAAATCGACAGTATTAAAAATGACCTGAAACAGTTTAGCTTACAAATTCGGGCCATGGAAGAAAATGAACGTGAAGAAAGAAAAAATCTTTCCCTTGAATTGGATAAATTGAAAAGAGAAAAAGACAATTTCCATCAGAATTGTAAACAAGAAAAGAAACGACTTGAGAAAGAATATGAAACTTTATCTAATCAACTATCGGAAAGTGGAGATGAGGATGAAATTGAGAAACAATTAGAAGCTGAACGAAGTAAATTTCGTAAAATTGCTCTAAAATTAGCTGAAAAGATTAAAGAAGTGTCCTTATTACATCGTAAACTTGACGATATCCCTTCAAGAGCTGAGCTCAACCAATATCAAAAGCGTCTTGTTGAGCTATACAATCAAGGTGAGTTTCCATAATCTAAAGATTGATCACTTTGATTAACTTTTTCCAATCGCTAATTCAGTTGCTGCCAAACACAATGAAACGAAAAGTTTTACATTCTCTATAATCAACTGGAAGACACTCGAGTTCATCTTGACAAGGAGTTGGCGTTATTAGATTCAATTCTCACGAATTTCAATCTGTAAGTTATCAATTGCATCGAATACAATTTAAATTGTCCAATATTTGATTGTAATACAAGTCTAATTAACTATTTTCTTCATTCAATCCACAGAGCGAATACAAATCTAGCAGCAAGAGAGCAATTTTTGTCCCAATTCGAGCAAATTGTCGAGAATATCAACTTGGCCAAAGTTAAAGTGGAAAGAAAAGATTAATCGAGAAGAGGAAAAAAGATCAATTAAATGAAGTTTATGTTGATTTAATTGAAAAACAACGACAATATTATCGAGCTGTTAGTCAATTAAAAGAGGAGATGAAGAAAAATGAATCGCTAATCAATTCAAACAACAATTAACTCAATCATTTTGGTAGGAAAATTTTTATTCTAATACAATATTGATTGACCAAGCTCATTTATTAAAGGTAAATTGATTCTCTAATAAAAATAATTAATAAGCTCTCAATGTGATGAGAAAATTATCAATATCAAATCTATTTCAAGTTAATTTGTTTCCTATTGATTTTGATATAACTCTGATTGCTAAATAGTAATTTATTAAATTTCCAACTGTAGATTTAATTACATCAGTTACGTTAGTTAATCAATACAATAAGATCAATTTATTACTACAATTAAAACATACTCTGTAAGGCTAAGCCAAGAGTTAACGAGATGGTTGCAAGAGACGAGACAAAATTAGGAGTAATTAACAACAATTTACCGAAAGTTAATCCAGCATCATGACGAGATAATCTTATCAAGAATAGATTAATCTGTAATGAGATTAAGTTATTATGGATTAAAAGGTTTTCAGATTAATCAGGTTGTTATTACCTGATTAGTGAATTCCACTGATTCAATGTTGAATGTTAGTGAATAAACTTTATCGAAAAGCTCATTGGACAATTGATTTACTCGAACTAAATAATAGGTGATCACAATTAAGTAAATGGTTTCACCAATAGATCGGAATATAGTGAGAATTAGTGACAATATGGACTGTTCGATGAAAAGTGCTCGAACAATGAATAAACAAAGACCAATGAGAAGAAGATAGAAAACAATTAACGATGAGAGTAAAAATCTATCAATGATTTTTGTTGTTTCGATTATCTTAGTGTACATTAATCGGCAGGAATTAATTTTCTCTTCGGGTTTTATCATCTGCGAATCTGTTGATTGTGTTGTAAGTTCTATGTGATTTAGGTGGTAATTGTGGACGATGAATGCTGATTCTAAATGGACACAAATCTCTAAAATGAATTGGAACTGGCTGAGTAGTGTAATCTTCGAGGGCATTAGAACCATGACATTTATTAAATATCGAATGATGAAATTCTTAGCATTTCCTGATGAATCGACATAACGAACATAAACTTTACCTGTTTCGCATAATATCTCATAGGAAATCGCTGCTATACCGAAAAGCTTGAGTGTTTTCTTTTGTTCCAAAATAAATTCAGCGGCTATTTCTCTGTTTTTATCGATAATCTCATGATAATTTCGTAGAAATTTTAAAAACAAAGCTCCATCAACTAAATAATAGCAACAACTTAATCCAACCAAAATGTAATTTGATTTGATCCAAACAGATTCGTAAACAATATACTTATTGATACGATCATTTTTCGAACGAATCGTTCCATAGAAAACTTCGTAAAGTCCAAATGTACCTCCGGCCACAGATAAAATAGAGACCAGAATATGGACTATTTTATTCAATCTATTTCGTTTCAAAATGGACTGAGAAAATAGGCTTGATGGAGCCATTTCAGTTTCAGTATATTTTTGAATACGCGAACTTATCATGATTAATGTATTAATCAAACTCTAGCAAACAAAAGGGTCCACAAGCAATCAACGATTTGCCTTTTCAGATCACTTTTCAATCAAAAATACATGAAGATCCATTTAGCTTGAATACTATTTATCATTCTGAAACTAATTTACTACATCGATAAAATTCAATTGTGATTTCGCAAACCGACTGATTGATTTCCATCTATTCGAGAGTATCTGAGAATGCGTTACCCACAATTCAATTTCACCTTTGATTTTTTGCAGAAAAATAAGAATTTAATTCAGTTGATCACATGAGTGATACAATTTCAATACTCATTTATCATACTAATAGATTCACTATAATGATTAATGGTCTTGATGACTGTTGGTTGTTTCCAACTGATTTCTAAGAAAACTGTGAACGATTAAGCTTATCAATCGCCCGTAAGGTGTACTGAGCATTGGTGTATTTATCGACCACAATAATTATTATTAAACTTATCCAATTAAGAGTAAAAGAACTCGTTGATTCCAAATGATCTAGGATAAGTTTGCGATCGCTAGTCCAAGGGTAAGAGATATGGTTGCAAGAGACGAGACAAAACTTGGAGTAATTCGTATTAATCGGGCAAAGGTAAATCCAGCATCATGTCTAGAGATTCGAGCTAGATAAAAGTTTATCTAAAAGGAGATATAAATGATTAGCAGTGTGAATCTAAAGTATTGTATTGAAAGATTAAGGCTTAAGACAGTCAATTGTATTATTACCTCATTTATAAATCCGTGTGATTTGATATCAAAGGAAAGGGAATAAACTTTGTTGAATAAATCGTTAGAATGTTGATTAACTTTAATCAAATGGTAAGTGATCACTATGAGGTAAACTGTTTCTCCGACCGATCGGGCAAGAGTGAGAATCAGCATAACGAAAGTTTTGGTGACGAAAATGACTCGAATGATAAATAGACACAGGCCAACGAAAAAAAGGTAAAAAGTAACGATTGTCATGGATAGAAATTTATCAATGGACTCAGTTGACTCAATGATCTCCGAGTACATGATTCGACATGATCTGATCGCTTTCTCCGATCGTTTCTCATTCAACGCACTTTCAATGGGCAGTTTGATGGCACTCAGGCAACGGTTGTGGACAGTAAAGGTCGATTCAAGTTGGGCACAATTTTCAAGAATTAGTTGTACCTGAAAAACTATCGCAAACTTTGAGGGTACAAGTACAAAAGCATACAGGGTATACTTGCATATATCATTCAGTGAGCCAACCAGTATATCGGGAATATAACGGGACTCAGCTTTTGCAATTTCGCAGAAAGCCTCATAGAAACTAGCATATATAACGAAAAAAGTGATCTTTCTATACTTTTGTCTAATATATTGATCGGCTAGTACTTTATCCTTCTCGATAATCTGATAATATCTTTGCAGAAATGATTTAAACAAAGTTCGGGTAAACAAATAAGATCCACAAGATAATCCAGTTAATATGTAATTCATTTTGATCCAAAGAGCTTCGTACTTTTTAATCTCATTCCCGAAATAATTTGTCTCATAAAGTATAATATAAATTCCGAATAATCCATTAACGATGGACATAATTGCTGTTGAAATATGGATTATTTGAGTTCTCTTGTTTCTTTGTAAAATAGATTGGGAAAATATCCCCGATGGAACAGTTTCTCCGACTTGATCCGAATGTTCAAACCCGAAAACTGATGCTACGTTTGGGAAATACATTTAGTCCCAACAATTACCGATAACTGTTATTAATTTAAACGAAATATTTTGAAAATCAACAAGAAAAAACTTTCATCTATTGCATAGAATTAAAAATCACTGAAAGTATTCAATCAACTGCGCAAACATCAGAATAGGAATAGATCATCCCAATCACTCATCAACAATTAATAAATGACAAAAGTTATTGGTGAATTATTTATTGTTGTCAAGTGGAAATTGAGAAATCAATCGAATCAACTATTGATATTAATCTTTAGAAGATAAACTTTGCAAGGATAATCCAAGGGTTAAGGCGATTGTTGCAAGAGATGAAACGAAATTCGGAGTGATTAATACAAGATTACCAAAGGTAAATCCAACATCTTGTCTTGATAATCTCAATAAGAATGTATTAATCTGAATTAGAAAGAGAAAAAAAAATCAGTATTAACCTATGAAGATTTTAAATTGGTAACCTTGGAAATCTTGTATATTGACCTCGTTGGAAAATTCAAACGATTTTGAACTAAACGAAAGTGTATAAACTTTGTCGTACAAATCGTTGGATAATCGATTGATTTTAACCAAATGATAAGTAATTAAAACGAGATAAACTGTTTCCCCAATGAATCGTAGGATCGCCAGAGTTACTTGCGAAAGAGATTGATCTTGAATGGACAAAGCTCGAACAATAAATAGACTTACACCAACGAATAGTAGATAACAGCTGACCAGTGTGAGTGCGAAAAAACGGTCGATATGATTAATCATCTCGATAATTTTACTATACATTAAACGATATGATTTAATTCTAGTAAGATAATATGATTGAACTGTGAATATACTTTCTCCACTTTGAACAGGCTCTAAGTCTTTCACGCAATGATCATGAACGACAAACACTGCTTCCAAATGGAAACAAACTTCAAGAATAAGTTGGAACGAAAAGACAATTCCAGCCTTATAAAACACCAGAATAATTACACGAACAGTATTATATATTATATAATGTTCAGGGTTGATTAGAGCAAAGGGAATACTATGATCAGTGCCTTCAGACAATTCATGAATTATTTCATGAAAGATGGAAAATAATAAGAAATATTTCATCATTTTCTGCTTACTATCAATATAATCAATTGCAATTCGTTTGCTTTTATCAACAATCCGCTGATAACTTGTGAGAAATAATGTAAATAATTTTCGTTTGAACAAATAATATCCACTAGTCAATCCGACCAGGGTAAGATTCAGCTGAATCCAAATGGCTTCGTACTTGCCTATTTGGTTAGTGAAACTCAACGGCTCACTGAAGATGATACAAAGTCCGAAAATACCTTTGATTATGAGCATTAGAGATGAAAATACATGAACTGTTTGGATTAATTTACTTTTCTTCAAAATTGATTGAGCAAAAACTCCCGATAATCGGTAAGATGAGGATTGAATCATCTCTGTAGAAATCATATTCAGAAATTAACTGATTACAACTAATTATTTAATCTCTATGTTTCTAGAATGACCATAAACTACCAATATGTGGAGATTTTATTTATAAATAAGTTAAAATGATACATGTACCAACTATATAACCGTTATTCTGAAAATTTAACTCTGTAACTTGATTGAAAAAATCGATTCATAATTTAAATCTATCGAGTGTAGACTAGAAAAGTTTTTTTTTCTACCAAACTAGAAATTAGTTTTCCATATTATTTTTTATTGATCGACTTTAAATATTATATGAATAACTTATCTATTGGTATTCAGATCGAGTTATCCTGAGAACTGTTCAAAAGAGACTCGCCAATGCTAATCCGAGAGTCAACGAGATGGTTGCAAGAGATGAGACAAAATTTGGAGTAATGAAGACCATCCGAGCGAAAGTAAATCCAAAATCAAGCCTTGAGATTCTTAATAGAAATAAATTAACCTGTGGATAGATTAATCTAGTGATTAGAATATTGAATTGAAGATTTCATTAGGTTTATAAACAAAGAGAATTTCTTACCTCATTAACGAATCCAAATGATTTGTTATCGAATGAAAGTTCGTAAACTTTGTTGAAAAGTTTATTCGATAGTTGATTAACTTTAATTAGATGGTATGTTATCAATATTAGATAGTTTGTCTCTCCAAAGAATTTGAATATCGTGAAAACTAAACTGGGCCTTGGTTTGACGAAATAACCGCGAATTGCAAACAGATCAAGTCCAACGAAGAAAATATAAAAAGTAAGCAACGAAAGAAACAGAAACTTATCGATTATTTTACAAGTCTTGATGATCTTTGAGTAGATAAATCGACTTAATCGAATCTTTTGTTCTGGAATATCTTTTCTCAAATCTAGATAATCGAATGATAAAGTGTTGAGACAACGTTTATGGACAGCGAAAACCGCTTCCAAATGGAAACAAATCTCGAGAATGAAATGAAATTGACTCAGAATGCCGAATTTATAGAAAAAAAGTATAATAGTAATCAAAGAGTATTTTACAAGATAATTGTCTGGACTCACTAAAGCTTCGGGAATATATCGAAGGTCACATTTTACTATCTCATAAGACGTTTCATAACAGAAACAATACAATACGAACAATTTAATCTTTGTGAACTGTTTCGTGGTAAATTCAGAAGCAAAAGTTTTATCATGATCAATTATCTCGGTATAACTTTTTAAGAACTCAATGAATAACGAACGATCAACCAAATAATAAGCACTCGTTATTCCGTACATTATATAAATAAATGCACTCCAAATTGTTTCAATCTTGGCAATTATGTTATTCGAATAGTCTGATTCGTAGAAAATAATAAACAGTCCAAATAAACCTTTGACGATTAACACTAGAGTCACTAATATATGGATTATCTGACTTAATCGATTTTGTCTCAAAATTGATTGAGCATATAAACTTGAAGGGTGAATCCATTGGTAAATAAATATTTGCATACCACCAAGTGGGCTAATCATGATTATCACTTTAATCTGATAACTTCCTGGATTCTTACTGGACTGTAAGTTACCTCAATTGATTGAAATGACCTTTAAAATAGAATTGTACTTTATGTCTTATTATAATGTGTGTTTGACATTTCTAAACACTATTAATCAATTACTCTATTGTTATCGAACTAATAAAATAACTTTGTTTCTCATTTTCTAAAGTTTTTTGAATTGATGTATAAGAAAACAAGTCAATACGACAAATTGAATTGTAACCTTTGCAAAGTATTAATCATGAATTCGACCTATTCAATCAAAATAACAGAATCAATATTCATTTATCATAAGGTAGAAAAAAAGAATCGGAGTAAATCAATTTCCAATCAGTTCCATATTTAGTCACGATTCGAATCAATTCAAGGGGGATGTTCGAGATCTCTGAGAACTTTTTTCCCCATTCAAAGAGACTCGCCAATGCTAATCCGAGAGTCAACGAGATGGTTGCAAGAGATGAGACGAAATTTGGAGTGATAAATATCATCCGAGCGAAAGTAAATCCAACATCATTTCTTGAGATTCTTAACAAGAATAGATTGACCTGAAAAATGGAGAAACAAAATTTGGATCAAAATTTCTTGCAATTATTAAGGCGTTTAGCTATTAGATTGGAGAAATCAACCTCATTCGAATACCAGAATGACTTTAATTCAAATGATAGAAAGTATATCTCGTTGAATAGTTTGTTCGATAACTGAATCACTCGAATCAAATGGTACGTGATTACGCTAATATACGTTGTCTCACCAATGAATCGTAACGAATTTAGAATCACAAAAGTGAGAGTTTTTTCACGTTCAAAAAGATCTCGAACAATAAAAAGAGATAGACCAACATACATGAAATAGAAACTGACCAATGTAAGGGTGAAAAATTTATCGATATATCGAGTAGCCTCGACTATCTTTGTGTACATTAATCGGCACAATTTCAATTTCTCGAGTGAACTTTTTTCTTTTGAATCTTTTCCGCACCAGGACAATTTAACTAAACATCGTTTATGGACATGAAATGCTGACTCTAGATGAGAGCAAATTTCCAATAGGAATTGTGATTGAATAATCAGGCCAGTTTTATATCCTATCAGGACGATGATGAATAAGATGTAGTGAGTAATATAATTTTCTGAGCCAAGTAAAGCCTCGGGAACATATTGAGTATCAGATTTTGCGATTTCATTGATGATCTCGTACCCGATTGACCATAATATGAAATATTTGATCTTTCTACGTTTCTTCATGATGAATTCATAGACATTTGACTCGTGGCCATGGATTATTTCATTATAACTTTTAACAAACTTTAAAAACAAAACCCTACTGAATAAATAATAGAAGATCGCTAATCCTGTGAAGATGTAATTGAGCTTATGCCAAACAGTTTCCAATTTTCTTAAAGGATTATTTGAATAATCTTTTTCCCAGAAAACTATGTACAGTCCAAGTGTACCTTTGGTGATTAGCATTAAAGATGCGAACACATGAACAAACTGACTCAACTTGTTCCGTCGTAAAATAGACTGGGCAAATGGACTTGACGGATAAATCCATTGATAGATATTTTCACCAAGTTCATCCATGACAACTTGTTCATGTAATGATTGAATATAAAACTGTTTCCTATCGTAGTACATCAAACATGGTCAAGAAACTGTACTTCGTATTTGAACAATTTTCAAAAATTTCTGTCTAACCTCAAAAGCAATTAATCATTCAGTTCGAGTTCAGTTCAGTTCAGTTTAGTTTCACAATAAATCTAATTTGTTACAAAATCCATAGTAACAAAAAATTTACGACTCACATTTGATTTTGTATCAAAACAATCGCGAAAACAAATACGAAAACCAATTCATATTTTTATCTTTCTCAGAATAACAGAATCAATAAAACACAATGTTATCTAATCGACACAGAAAAATCAGAATAAAATCCTTGACTCAGTCAATGGAAAAGCTTATTATCAATGTTATCAATGGAAGTTGTAAACGTTAGTATCTTGGTATTGTTTTAACAATCAGTTTAATTGTCTTTAAAAGGGTCTTTTTATTAATGATACAACCACTCATGATCGTATTACAATCATATTGAATTAAGACAATAACGATGAAGTTGTTTGTATTTTTGTGTATTCTTTTATTCAAGTATATTTTTCATTATCGTTGGTGAGCATTGATGATCCCCAAGTATCGATATCAACTGGTCTGGTAAAAGGTAAAACTATTTCATTTCGTGGTATTGAAGTTAACCAATTCCTTGGAATACCTTTTGCTGAATCACCAACGGGCCCGTTAAGATTTAAAAAGCCAATAAGCAAAAAGCCTTGGAAAGGTGTTTTGAATGCCGATCAATGGGGACCAGTATGCTCACAACCCGCTTTAATAAACTCTAAGCAAAACAATACCGAAGACTGTCTTTATCTAAACGTCTTTGAAACTTCATCGACTCTTCGTGACCTGAAAAATGGTCTCAACAATTTACGACCAGTGATGGTTTGGATCCATGGAGGAGGTTGGGTTACAGGTTCTGCTAATATACCCGAATGGTATGACGGTACAGTGTTGGCCTCGATGAATGATGTAGTTGTAGTCTCGATAAATTACCGTTTAGGTGTATTTGGTTACTTGTATTTACCCGAATATGATGTGCCAGGAAATATGGGACTTTGGGATCAACAATTGGCACTAAAATGGGTACAAGAAAATATCAGATTCTTTGGCGGTGATCCTAGTAAAGTGACCATTTTTGGTGAATCTGCAGGATCATTTGCTGTCTCCGTTCTTCTCGTTTCCCCACAATCAAGAGGACTTTTCAATCGAGCGATCATGCAAAGTGGTACTATCCATGACTCTGCCTTGACACAGAGGCCAAATTCATCGATACATTTCCTTGAAGCCTTGAACTGTTCATCAACGATAAGCTCTTGTTTAGCCTCATATGAATATGGTGTTGATCCAAAGGTTGATGGTATCTATTTATTACCAGTTATCGGAGATGAATTTATTCCTGATACTCCTGTTAACATGATCAACAATCATGGTGTCGATCCTAATATCAGCATCTTATTGGGAACCGTTGGTTATGAGGGGGCTGGATTTATGGCCGCTAATATTGATCCAATATTATTTGATCCTTTTCATCCTGGAAATTTAACCTTGGATCAAGTTCGTAAATCACTCGATGAAGTTTTAATTTTACGTGATTATTACTCGGTTGATTATGTTATGGAAAAATATTTTTCCAATGTTAACACTAATGATTCAGATGAATTGAGGTTAATCCTCGCAAAGGCAGGAGGTGACATGTTAATCTCTTGTCCGACTTATGTGTTCGGTCGTGATCTTGTTAAAAATGGACAGTCCAATGTTTTCGCTTATTATCAAACACAAAAGCCTCGAAAGTCAATGTTTGGATTTGCTGATGGGAAAACTTGGGTACCGGTAACACACGCGGACGATATTCCGTTTGTTTTTGGCCATTCAATGCAAGAGAATTCGAACTGTGACCCTGAAGAACTGATTATCTCCAATATCATGATGAAAGCTTGGACTCATTTTGCAAGATATGGGTAATAATCATTTTGAATATTTTGTTTTCCATCTAAATTTTGGGTATTATTAATAGTTATAAAACTTTTGTCTTATAAATTTTCTCTTTGATTCCCACAGAAAACCAGGTTTAATCGGTGCTTATGAATGGCCGTCATGGTCAATGAATGATGGCGAAAACATCTTACATCCAACTATCGATTTCAACTCCAAAAAGATTGGTCACTATGATCAAACACCAGTCGATTTTTGCTTCGAAAATTGGCCTTTCCCGGTTGCTAAAAAATAACAAAATTCACTGCGAATTTAATATTCATTTCTTATATTTGATTTCACTTATCAAAAAATATGATTGACATTTTATTTGTATTGAGTGTTTTTCCTGTTTTCTTAATGAGAATATTTTGCGGTCTTTTGCAAATTACTACAATGAAATATTACAGATGAAAGTTAATTATGGTGATAAGATCGATGATTAGACATAGAGAGAGAGAGAGAGAGAGAGAGAGAGAGAGAGAGAGATACAATTTTGATATTATTTTGAGGATCACAATTTAGATAAGAAACTAATTCTATCTTTAATGTTTATAAATTATTCAGGCGATTGCTCTGAATATCGTCATTAGAAGTAGCCTGAATGATGGGCTGATTTCGATTATTCTGTCCATCAAGTTCATTGCTTTTAGCATCCCGGTCACTTTGGCTTAAATATCCACGACTATTTCTTATGCTAAACAAGAAATATGTGCTCAATCCTAGAGATTAAAATGAGAAATTTTTCAATTATATTGAGCCAAAAACTGCTTATTCAAAAAGAATGAGAAACTTACCGAATGCCATCCAAACAAGGAATCGATACCAAGTACGAGCACTTAAATTGTACATTAGATAGAAGTTGAACAAAGCAGATACAATGGGAAGTGCAGGCAAAAAAGGGACCTAAAATAAAATAAAAAGTAATCGAATATGGTTAATAACTTTCTCTATGAGAACAAGTAGCATTTTGAACTGGGACATTTACGAACCTTAAACGCAAGTTTAGTTTGTGATTGCGGTTGTCGGTTGAGTATAAACAGTAAACAAATGATCAGAGAAAAAGTAACTCCAACAACGATGATTGAAGATAGATCACCAGCCCGTAAGCCCTCAAAGAAGAAAGTTAAACAACCATCAAGAAATAGACAAAGAAGACCTGAAGAAATGAAGAAATGAAAAGTTTAATCGATGAACTAATCAATCAATCGTGATTCGGTAATCAACTTACTCAATGCAAATATTATCATAGTGCTGATCTCTGTTGTTTGTTTATTTGGAACTTTATAACCATCAAGATTGAACAAAATTGAAATAAAACTTGGCTTTGAGTCGATTAATTCATCCTCATCAGTACTATTTTGATACTCGTCAGTCAATTCTTCCTTTGTAACAGAGTAATTTGGATCTTCACGGTATCTAAAATACAGTGGATAAAGGGAACAATTAAACTGATAATAAAGATAAATACGAAAATCGTAAGAAAAAGTAAATTTACCGCAATATAAGTACAGATAAAGCGACCAATGTATAAGCCAAAAGTGTTCCAATTGACATCATGTCAGTTAATTCATCGGTTGTGAAAAGAGCCGCCATTGTACCTGCAAACGTCCCTGCGAACATCGTTGAGAAAATTGGTGACTTTTTAGCTCCTACCGTTGATTTAAAGATCGATGGTATCAGTCCATCCGAAGACATGGCAAAAAGGACTCGAGGAAGAGGGAAAAGTGAACCAAGAAGAGCAGTGGAAAGACTTGTTATCGCTCCAAAAGTAATGATATAAGTAGAACCAGACCAACCTCCACCTAATTGAAAGATATCGGTAAGTGGAGCATTCGAACCTTGAAGCCAATAAGGAGCCATTAAAGTAGATACACTTGCGACACCAAGATATGTCAATAGAATTAAAAACAAAGAAATCGATATGCTGAGTGGAATTGATCTTTGAGGATTTTTGGCCTCTTCTCCGGTCGATGCAATAGCGTCAAAACCAACAAACCCATAGAAACATGTAGCAGCTCCTTTCATCACACCTAAGTAAATTATGGGCGGAAAATTAATCATCACAATTAGTTAACCACAATCATCATGTGCTTTGTAATATTAGTATCAGTCAATTTATTAGATTTAGATTGTCACTTAACACTTTTTAAAAGTATTAATAATAATCAATCTCAACCTGATAGTTCTGACGCAAGTAAATGGAATCACCTTGAAACCCCCATGGGGCGAAACCTCCTTTACCAAAACCAGGAGGAACTTTATGCTTTGGGATGAACCAATTGTTGATATTGGCACGGAAAGCACCAGCAATGATTACAAAGAAAACGGCATAAAGATTGACAACGGTAAATATCGCAGTGAATCCAGTTGATTCTTTCACACCGAAAGAGAGGAGTACTAATTGAGAGAAAAGCGATTATTCAAAACTGTTGTCGATTCTTAGCTTATATTATATGTATAAATTACCTGCAAGAAACATCGTCAATCCGAATGCAAAACCATCAAAGTAACCAGAAGTTCCCGGAATTGGAAGAGGTAAAGTTTCATTGAAAAAATCGGCTATTCTATTGTCGATCAAAGCATCGACATAACCAGAATAACCTCTAGCAACCGATGCAGTTCCTAAAATTATGTAAGATAAAAGTTTGTCAAATTAGTTGATAATCTATTTCTGTTAATCTGTTGACAGTTGATAATTTTAATCGTTGATGGATTTGGGATGAAAGTCGATGATCGATATGAGTAAATTCTGTAACCAGAAAACTGGATCAAAGCTGCTGGTAATTGCTCTTTGTCTAATTATCCTTGATAATCTTTTATGGTTTAAAGATCAAAATCAACACTCACGCTAGAGGAACAAAAGTGTGAAAGCTCAAGTGACTTTTTCTATGGATAATCTTTTCAATTTAATCCACGTGAACATCAATGTTTTTATTTTTCTAATCAGAACAATTTTAGATTAATTTCATCGGCATTTGTGCTAAAGACGAAGATTAGACTTGATAACAAATCTACGACCAATAAGAAATCATTTAATGAGATAAACCTAAAGCTAACGAAATAAATATCGGTGTCCAAATATAAGAGATACACTTTATTACTAACTGATAAAATCGATACAACTATCGAACCGACATTATATTTACTATTAATATATCAATTATCCATCATTTGAATCATTAGTTTTGAGAAGAAAAAAAAAGTAAACATTAGATTTGAGAGACAAGGGATCACTTAAATTCGGGTTGACAATCTTTTCCCTATTGCCTGATGATTTAAAGGGAACGATGAAAGAAAACAGGACACGGAAATGACGGAAACAAGGGAAAAGGTTTCAGAACCCAGAGGAGATACTATTGAGTCTAATTTCCTTGGGTTGCAATAAAAAATCATCGTCATTGATTTTAATCTAAGTTAGAACGATGATCCTCCGAATTGAGGAAAAAAAAGTTTATCAACAATCATGAGACCAAAGGGAAATTAAAATTGATTTGATTAGTTGTTTTTAGTTTACATGATATGGAAAATTGATTGTGGTGATTAAATTAATCAAACTGATCACAACAGAGGTGGGGGAATATACGACATTTATGTAACCATAATTTAAGGATTCGGATTAGTTGTAAATCCTTTTCTCTTTCATTTTCCATCGATAAAATTTAACGATTACTTAATAATGGTTCTTCCAATGGTAATTATGAATAATATCAAATCGATTGATTTACCATCTTGTTTACAAATGAATAACATGTAAAATCATGTCAACCTGAGGTTTCACTTTTAATTAACCAGTAGCTAAGTAATCAAATCAATGGAGAATTGAAAACCTTGTGGTAGAACTAAATTTCCCTAATCACAATTGTCATCAATTGTAATAATAATTTCACCATCTATGGAAACCATTTTATCCGATAAAATATAATATTAAGTGACTCAGATACAGACAGATAATAACGTTCTCATTAACTGTACCTTAGATATTGGATTTTGAAACAGAGACACACACACATTAATATTAATAGTTATCAATCAAATTGAACTTTGTATGATTTTGATAAAACTACAATTAGATAATCAGGTAATTGAAAAGTAAAAAGAAAAGTGAAATTAAAAGATCAAAGTTTAATACATACCGATTGCATATTCTAAAATTAGATTCCATCCAATGACGAAAGCCATAAATTCACCGACTGTAGTATAACTATAAATGTAGGCTGAACCCGCTTTCGGGACTCTTGCTCCAAATTCAGCATAACAAAGACCCGCAAATACTGATGCAATCGCGGCGATAATGAATGATATGATTACCGCTGGTCCAGCTTGTTTGAAGGCAACATGACCTGCGAGTACGTAAACACCAAGTCCAAGAGTAGCACCAACACCTTTTAAGAGTAAAATGAAAGGTAAAAAAGAAAACCAATTGAAATAATTGCATATGATTAGTATTCACAATTTAGATTGTGATTGAATTATTGTCAACTTAATAGTACCTAAAGCTGTTAGGTCAAAAGTGTTAAGGCATCGAACGAGTCTCGATTTTGTTTCAGCGTTTTCTTCAATCGGTTTCCGTCTCACTAGTGCCTTGAAAAATTTCTTAACCAGAATCATTGATAATAAATCGAGCTGATTAACTGTTGATTTGTCGCTTTTTAAATTGTGATTATTATCAAAATGATCGTTAACACGACAAGTTAATTGTTGAAATTTCCAATTCGGTCGATGATAAAAACTATTGGTGTAAACACGGCTGATTTAATCAATCGTAATAAGTAATAATTAAAACTAATTAACAAACTTTAAAAGATTATCAATGATTATCCATAACAATTAGACCAAATTTAAACGATGATCGATGTCATAAAGTGTTTCTAACACTGAAACAATTTAGTTCACAATTAAAGTAAGGCAAGAGGCGAACTGATTATAATTGATATCACAATTGATTGGAAAGAAAGAAGAAGAAGAAGAAGTAAACAATTAATTATAAAGAGATTGAATGTTAATTAGAAACAATTAAGTAGAATCAATGAGAGATGATTTCAAAATCAATTTCAACAATTTACTTGATTCACTGTTACAATGAAAGTGATAATCCAACAGTTTAAATTGTGATCATTTGACTGAGGATGTTACTGATTGTTGGTAATTGATTGTTGTACCTCTAGGAAAAAAAAAATTAGGCACGATAATGTTAATTGTAATGATTTAAATCTTCATATCATATCAGCCTCGAAAAGATGATGTGATTTGATTATCTCAATTACAATATAATATCAATTGTAACTTTTGCAATCAAAATATTGAAAGAGAGCAACAAAAAACAAGCCGATACTTTGGTAAATAATCAACAATCAATTGATTATCAGTAAATCACTATCAATGTAACTATCAATTAAAATTGATATTAACCAATTAAATGTAAATAAAAGCAAATTAATGTTTATAAAACAAAAATATATACAAATTTGACATTTACAATCAAAAATGTTTCATTACAATTAACGAGGGTGTTTGCTTTTTACCTACTCGTTAATCAGTTGATTGTAACAATTAAATTGTTAACAAGCTTTCCTAAGTCAATGATTTATTAATAATATTAAAAAAAGAGACTAATTTTTGATTAAGGGCAAATACAAAACAACTTATCATTGTGACGATAAACAGTTACAATCAATCAATTATCTAATCAATCATTTTTTTTTCATTAACAATTTGCATAACACTAAATGACATTGATCAATGTTATAATGTATGTAACTAATTCAATCATCGTTTAATTATGGAAACGGGGAAAACACAATTAACTGATCAGTGCGATTTAAATCGGACCAATACAATGTAATTGATTGAAACAATAAAACGATCATGACGTTAGAATTGTTGAGAATAATTTTTTCGACAATTTGATAGTTTATTGTCCATCTTTCTTTAGAATAAACTTGCTAATGCTAATCCAATGGTCAGTGAAATAGTGGCCAGCGATGAAACGAAATTGGGAGTAATGAAAAGTAATCGACCGAATCTAAATCCAACATCATGTCTTGAGATTCGAAGCAAGAAAAGATTTACCTGTGGATATAAAAAAAGTGTACGAAAAACAATCAATGGTCAAGCGTAATTATTGGAAGGGTCACTTTAGTTGGTTACCTCATTTGTGAATTCAAAAGATTTCAAATCAAATGAAAGCGCGTAAACTTTTTTGAACAATTTGTTGGACAATTGATTAACTCGGATTAGGTGATAGGTGATTAATAGTAAATAAGTTGATTCACCGATGAATCTTGCAATGGTTAGAATTAGATTGATGAAAGATTGAGTGGTCACAAAAATTGCTCGAACTATGAAAAGCCAAAGGCCAACGAAAAACAGGTAAAAGGTTAACAAGGTGAGAGTGAAAAACTTATCTGCATAACGAGCAGTCTTAATTATCTTAATGTACATGAGTCGACATGATCTCATTTTCTCTTCAGAACTTTTCCCCCCGGTTTCATCTCCTTTCACCAAGTACCATGGTCTCAGATTATCAAGACATTGATTAAGAACCATGAATGCTGATTCAAGGTGGAAACAAATCTCAAGAATAAATTGAAATTGGCAAATGAGACCAATTTTCGAAGCGATTAATATTATCGCAAATAAAATATGTTTATAAATATAATTTTCTGGGCTAATTAGTGCATCAGGAATGTAGCGAGTGTCATTTTTTGCCACTTCACAGATGATCTCATAGAAAATGGCGTAAACGAATAGAAACTTGATTATCTTTTGCTGTCTAATCAGATAATCAGCAGCAATTTCCTTGTTCCGGTAAATTATCTCATGATAAGAAGATAATAGTTTATGAAATAATCGCCGACTGAACAGATAATATCCACACGTTAATCCAAATAAGATACTATTGAATTTGGACCAAACTGTTTCGTATTTATGAACTAAATTGTTGAAATTATTAGGTGACTCAAAATAGATGATATAAAGTCCGAATAAACCTTTGATTATGAACATAAGAGATACAAATACATGGAGAAATTGACTAAATTTATTTTTCCTCAAAATTGACAAGGAAAATAAACTTGATGGGACAATTGATTTGATTATCATCTCTTGAAAATCAACTGTTGATGTTAACATGTTGATTGAACTTTCAGCAATTAGAATCAACTGATTGTGATTCGTTTTAATTTTAGCCTTTAAATATCTTTAATTAATGAATTTTAACAAACTTTCAGTATCTATTGATTGCTGATCGATAATTCAATAAAATGATGCAACTACATATCAATGCTACAAATGAATTTGATTCAACTGATACATAACAATTAAAAATTTATCAATTTGATTAAAGTAATTGTTTTTTTTTTCGTAAAAAGACTAAATCAGCAAATCAATCGTTTATGAACTACATCAATGTTAGATAAATTTCATTTTGGTTCATCCATGAATTCATGTTGAAGTTTCATGAGAATCGAACACTTTTGTTCAGATGATTTTGATGAAACATTTTGATTATAATAATTGGTGGATAGAGTCAAGAGTTAATTATTTATTCATTCAGAAATTAGAATCAATATTGTGCAATAGTTCAATAGCTTAGAATATGCTATGTGATTAATAATACAAATAAGAGTATGATTGTTATAACCTGATAACAAAATGGAAGAAAAGAATTGAAGGAAAAGAGCGAATATTAGAATCGGCTGCTAATTTACCATCCATGGCCCCATCCGTGTCCCCAATGTTCGATATGTGGAATATAATGATGATGTTCGTTATCGTGGTGACCCCAATTGTCCTTGAGAATAATGTTGTCACCTTTCTTCTTGTCGGAAGTCACAATTGTGTGACTATGTTGATCCTTTAGAACAATGTTAGCACCTTTGTTCTTGTGGGTATTTAGAATTGTGTGACTGTGTTTATCCTTGATCACAATATTGGTTCCTTTTTGACCACAATCAATGGTGGAGAAGATGATGGACGAAACAATTAAGAAAACGAAAACTAATTTAGACATCATGTTTACTACTATTCTAGAAATAAGTTCACTTGTATTGAAAGAGTTCGAATGGTTATTGTTGTTGATTGTTCGAGATGTTATGAGTGAATGTACTTTTCGTTTCGAAAGTTTTTTATTTTATATTCCTCCGACCCTTTAGAAAGTTACCATACTATTTGACGTTTGTTTGTATCATTAGTTAAAGTTTAAAGATTAATTAAATTAGAAGACAATAACTAACGTTTATAACCATCGCCGAAAATTATATTATCTCTATTGCCTAATTATTATTGAAAGAAGTGGTTGATTTATCTTAAAACAATCAATGTTTGAATAGATAGGATTTCAGTGTTTATCGTTCGAAGTGAATTAAATTTAATCAATCTATCATTATTTCGATTAGAATCAATTAGGTCAACAATTTTAATTATCTCAGTTTATGTAGAACTTGGTGAAAATAGAACGTGTTTCGAGTCGATATTGTAAGCAAAAAAGCCTAAAATCAAATTCAGTTATTGATTGAACATAGAAATCGAAATGAAATATAAAAGGAAGAGATTTTAAAACAAAAAGCACATTCGCTCATCGCATCTTGAACAAGTAACAAGTCGAACAGTCAACGATTCAAGTGAACTTTTTCTCGAACAAAAGTAAACATGGTGTCTAAATTGTTTATTATTTTCTTAATTGTTTCATCAATCATCTTTTCCACCATTGATTGTGGTCAAAAAGGAACCAATATTGTTCTTAAGGACAAACACAGTCAGACAATTTTCAACATTGACAAAAAGGGTAACAAAAATATTATTCTCAAGGATCAACATGGTCACACAATTGTGACTTCCGACAAGAAGAAAGGTGACAATATTGTTATCCATGATAATTGGCACGGTAAGAATAATCATCATTATCATTATATTCCACACATCGAACATTGGGGACACGGGTGGGGACATGGATGGTATTGATTTGCGAATATCAAATTGATTATACTTCATCATGGTATCTAAATTGTTATCCGGTTATAACAGATAAAAATGAATCCACTAAATATTACTTACCTTATTCATCAATACAATGTACCTTAAAATTAATATTATTTCGTATGAATCTCATCGCTAAACCGATGGGATAATCCACTTGTAAACCTTTTCATGAACTATTCAAACAAAATAACAATAAATGATTAAATGTTTTACTAAAATACAGTATCAGTTTTATTATTAATGTTATAAAAAATACTGAATTTAATAATAATGGTAACAAAGATGATTTTACATTTCATTTTCTATTAGTAAATGAATATCGGGTGATCGAAAATAAGTGAGTATCTCACGAACCTTAAGTTTTAGACCCACGTTTCTATACATTTTAAGAAAATAAATACGACGCTGAGTCCAAAAATGTTCGGCTTTTTTTTTCTAGGACGCACGGTTCTCAAGATATCGAGTGGCCTGAAAAGCGAACGGTTGACTTTGGACTCAAAGTTTTCGGTCAAAAGTTATTCTTTTTAACCTATTATCTTATATACCTAAGGTCATCATTATCTGAAGTAGGGTTATTGAGATCCAACATGGCCAAAATTAACGAAAATTTCTCATAGAGAAAATCGCGATTTTGGCCTTTAAATAAGAACCGCAGTTGCATTTGAGCTTCGAAAATTTTGAAAACATTCATCATTTATAATTGATTGATGGCGCTTTCAATGGCATTTGAAACTTTATTCTAGGACCTATCATTCTTGAGATGCTCACTCATTTTCGGTCACCCGATATTACGGAAAAAACAATGAATTTGCATTCATGCATTGAATCATTCTGTGAATCGGAAGCTAATCAATAAATTGAGGATTTATCGGTTACAAATCTTGGCCACATGAATTAAAAAAGTTAAAGTTAAGCTAAGTGAACACCAAAAGAACTCTAACATTGAAAACATTTCACCAAAAAGAAGATTCTAGGAATCTTGTCACTTTTTTCGAACCCAAAATATTAAAGTTTAGATACTTGAGCTGTTACATTTTGTATAGGGGCGTTTGGAAATGGGCTGGTCTGAATAGGTTGCGGCCACTTAAGAAACTTACAATGTTAATTTTGATTTCAAGCGAATCAGCTAAATTACTGATCTGCTAATAAACTTGCAATAAAATTTCTTAGAATTAGGGTTCATGGATTTAACTCAAAATCGGTCATTTATGATTATATTAATACTAATACTTAGGTCTCGAATTGATACCAAAAGTATCGTTCTCTTTACTGGAAACAATGGACTCATATGTTTATGTGTAATGAAATGCGATAATCTCACGAGAAAATCATATTGATAATAATTGGATTAATTGTGACAAATTCACTTTAATTAGTTGAAAAAAATTTATTAATAATGAAACTCGTAATTGACAAGTCGTTGATAAATTGTAGCATTAAATTAAATCTAATAAAATAGTGATCAATCGAGATTGCGAGTATTATTAATAACTTATTGTGATTGTAGCAATAATGTGTGAATAGGAAGGGTTATTGTGGGTCTCTTATTGTAATCATAAGAGTAATAATTAGAAGAAAATATTAAATAGGTAAGATATCGAAAATCACCATCCATGGCCCCATCCGTGTCCCCAATGTTCGACATGTGGAATATGATGGTAATGGTGGTTATTATTTTCATGCTCATTATCATGAAGAACAATATTATCACCTTTCTTCTTGTCGGAAGTTAGAACGGTGTGGCTTTGTTGATCCTTGAGAACAATATTTTCACCTTTGTTCTTGTGGTCATTAAGAATTGTATGACTGTGTTTATCCTTGATCACAATATTGGTTCCTTTTCGGCCACAATCGATGGTGGAAAAGATGATTGATGAAACAATTAAGAAAAAGACAAACAATTTAGACATCATATTGATTATTGTTCGAGAAGTAAGTTCACTTGTATTGAAAGAGTTCGAATGGTTGTTGTTGTTAACTGTTTGAGATGTTATGAGTGAATGTACTTTTCGTTTCGAAATCTTCTTAATTTATATCTTTTGATACTTTCATGTGATCTTTGAGCTATGTCAATCTTTTCCAAATCAATATAACATTTCCGGTGAATAAGATAAGGTGGTAGTTCAATTCAATATTGAGTAATCAGAAGTTAATCAAATTAAAGTGGAACTCGTTGATCGCAATCAGAATAATGATTATTGCTATATTCCTACTTATCTTAACATATCTGCCATTCTTTCACAATTAATTCTTTCATAATTATTTCAACTAATGTGTGGAGTAATTTTGTTCGTTATATTATTCTTTCACTTTGACTTGTGAGATGCAGAAACTAAAATGACATATAAAAGGAAGCGATTTCGAAATGAAAAGTACATTCACCCATCGAATCTCAAACAAACAACTCTTGTGAACAAGTGAACTTGCTAATTCAACACAATATGATGTCTAAATTGTTTATCATTTTCTTAATTGTTTCATCAATCATCTTTTCCACCATCGATTGTGGCCAAAAAGGAACCAATATTGTTCTTAAGGATAAACACAGTCAGACAATTTTCAACATTGACAAAAAGGGTAACAAAAATATTATCCTCAAGGATCAACATGGTCACACAATTGTGACTTCCGACAAGAAGAAAGGTGACAATATTGTTATCCATGATAATTGGCATGGTAAGAATAATCATCATTACCATTATATTCCACACATCGAACATTGGGGACACGGATGGGGTCATGGATGGTAATTCACCGGCACCTCTTCCTATTCTATTCTACTATACATCAGCTGTATCTTCAGTAATGTAAAATCTAATGTCGAATGTGCCTCGAGTTTTATTCATTATTAATAATAATAAACATTTATGACTTGAAATGTATTCACCTCAACCTCTTGATGTTGATATTTGAAAATTGACTCTTGGGCTCCAATTACTAACCAATATTAGTTTAGTTTCATTTGTAAATACTCGTTTTTTTCATTTTTTATTTTATTCATTTGTAAATTCTCAATAAAATACAATTTAACGCAAAATGTCTGTTCGAAAAATAATTGCGAACTTTTAATGAAAAAGTTTTCATATTTTTTTACATGAAATGATAAGAAAATCGCGGTGAGTGGAGATTTCTTCTCGAATATTTCTTCAGATAATTTCTTGTTTCTTCCCAATTTCCTGGTTGATCATGTATTTGGTGTT